TATCATTCTGGTACCATACAAGGATTTGCAAGTATAGAATTCTTTTTAATAGTTGCTTCATTTGTTGTTAATTTGGTTATTTACACTTTGGTTTTTCCAGGAACTATGGTGTGCCTCTGCACTTGATCCGGGAGCTATATGAGACATTCCGAAACTTTAAGCTGCGAATTGCTGATTACGTCCGTTATCGGAAGATCACATCAAATATGAATGACCGCTTTCCAGATGCAACACCTGAAGAGTTGAATGCGTTAGTTTTTCTAGCTGATTAACCCTTAGAATGCTCACCCACACCACATGTATATTGATGTTGTGCTCGTCTCATATCTATCTTATCGTATGCAGAAGTGATGCAACCTGCATTATCTGTAGAGAGGAGATGACTACCGCAAAAAGACTAGTCTGTGGGCATCTTTTTCATGTGCACTGCCTCCGGTCATGGTTAGAGCGACAGCACACATGTCCTATTTGCAGAGCGCTCGTTATACCAAATGAGAGTGGGACAAGTGCATCACGATCACGAGCAGGAGTTCATCGTCAAGGTCAGAATTTTCACATTCTTTTGAATCAGGATCAGTTGTTTATCTTTCCGAGAAGAGTTGTATGACAAAGTTAGAAACCTCTGCAAAGTAGCATTAGTATTCTAAAAGGCATCAAGTAGAGCTAGGAGGTCTAGTGATCTCAATCACCTAAGCAGGGATTAAGCAAATGCCTAATTGGACCTACAGGTGATTCATTTTAATATAATTTTGTTAGATTGTGTAAATATATGGGAATCTAGAAGTTTTGATACCGTGTTAATTTGATTCAGTTATTTTTCTAATGGCTAATTTCATCGCTTGGAAAGAATTGGAAAGATTACCTCCAAGTTTAGAAACACCGAGTAATCCTTGCTTAGCTTTTCAGAACTTTAAGTTCTACAAATAGCTGCTAATTGAAACAATAGGGAAGATGGTTTATGCCCATGCAAACCAATTTAGTGGCCCTAAAATGAACTGGTGAGGGAATGTTCAATGACTAGGCTGTTTCTTAAGAAGCCCTAAGCAGGATTTCGACAAAAAATACCTTTTGCTGAAACATTTTTTCATGCCAAAGTAGTTTTCCTTGACTGTTGATATTTTATCTACTAGCTTAAATATCTTTTACCCCAATCTGTTCAAACCGAAAGATTTCTACCCAGTCATGTACGTAGAAATTGATCAACTTACATCATGGGTCTAACATACATATATATATATACACACACATATATATATCACAGAATTTTACAGTTTTTTAATGTCTTTTCAGGAGCAAATTCAGCAAACACATCGTCTCAAGATCAAAATGGTGATGGTGCAGGAAGTGGGAATATCAGTCGGCATCAGAAGAGAGTCCAAGCTGCAGCAGCAGCTGCTTCTATATATCAGAAATCTTTTGTTTACCCTTCTCCAAGTACTTTAACATGGTATGCACTTCGCATTTGGAATTGGTTAGGTACTCAATCTTTATAGACATGCAACCTACATGTCATGACTTGGAATTTTCAAGTTGGCACTTGGAATTAAACATCATTTATACTCTGGAAAACATTAACTGCTGCCATTTTGTGACTTATTGCTTTTGCAAAGATGTTGGTCGCTCTGCAAGCAATTCTCAAACCGTATACAACATTTTTCTTTTCCTTTTGTTATATGAATTTCAAGTTATTAAACCGGATCAGGAAATTTTAAAGTAAATCGTGCGACTAATTTATAAAGATTTCTATTTTAAGCCCTGGGTTGCTTTTTGCTGTCTATTTGATCATTTAAAGTAGCTAGGTTCTTTCTTTATGCTATTTTTTCTGTGTTTTCCTTTTATTTATCCTAAATTGAAGTTATGGAGCCTGAATCACATTGTTTGTTAGCAGCTTAATGAGCTTAATGGGACTTGCAGCTTATTCGGTCAGCTATACATGACTGTTTGGTAGTGGATTAATGCTCCTTCAGTAAGCTTTTTGGGGGAAGCTTTATGTAGAATGCCAAGTTTTTTCTAGACCAGCGCCTCTCAATTATAAGAATGCTCCTTCGATCTATGAAAAAACTCTCCCAAACAAAAACCTTCCCAATTTCTACTAACAGATTAATCCACATAGGCAGCTTTATTCATCCTGGACTTGATGAAAAACCAACCAAACAGCTCTTTATGCATGTTTTCACACCACATGGATGTGACTCCCATAACTATTTAAACATTAGTAACATGATGGGATGGTTTCAGACGTGTGGTATCTGTGACATGCAAGTCTGATAGGGATCGTGATCAAATAGTTAAAGGAGAGAAAGTATTAAAAGTCTATACTAGGAGGGCTAAAAAGGGGCAATCTGGAAGTGGCTAATTCT